TAAATAAATAAATAAATAAATAAATAAATAAATAAATAAATAAATAAGTAAATAAATAAGTAAATAAATAAATAGGTTCATAGAGCAGCCTTTACCGGTCAGCTTTTTTACTGAAACATTTTTACAACTTCTTGAACTTGGAAACTCAGGAAAGTGCTTGTCCTGGCTTCCCTAAAGTTGGGCCTTGAATCATGGATGAGTAGCTTCTCACACCTCATATTTTCTTCCATGCTCTGCGACAGATTTTCTTATTTATGTCGTAAGGCTCTCAGATGCATCAAAATCATACCCGAATATGTGTGTACCTATCCTTCATTATGGAATTCTGCTCTCCGTCATTCTATACTACCTAATGATTCTTCAGGTTTGCTTCAAAGCTTCCCTCATTCCTGAGATTGCTTTGCTGAGAACTCCGGTGGATAATCCTCCTTCACACTCAGCCTTTTACTGTTGTCTTACTCTTTTTTTTTTTTTTTTAAGATTTATTTATTAAGAATACAATGTTCTGTCTGCATGTACACCTGCAGGCCAGAAGAGGGCACCAGATCATATTATAGATGGCTGTGAGCCACCATGTGGTTGCTGGGACTTGAACTCAGGATTTGAACTTCAGGAAGAACAGCCAGTGCTCTTAACTTCTGAGCCATCTCTCAAGCCCAACTGTTGTCTTATTCTAACTGGCTTCCTGGATTCTGAAATAAGATTAGACAGCTCTTTAGGAAACAGACTCTGATAGCAAATTAAAATAGATGGTGATTGAAATTTACATCACATATTAGGAATGGTTTGAATTTAAAACATTCAGGAAGAAACTGCATGACTGGGGAGGTGTAATTTAAATTTTGGCATTTTTCACTTTTTCATTACTTGAATGGTTTCAGTTCTGGTCTTTCGGTTCTAAATTTAATCCCTATCATAGTCAGATTTGGATGTTAGATTTAAATAGTATTGGTTCTGTTCTAGTCAGTGGTACACTCTGAGTAAACAGCCATACTCTTTAGACGGTTGTTTGCATCGTTTGTCATCTCTTTCATAAAAAGGAGACTCTAAAACAATTTCAACAAGGGACTTGGCAGGCGAATCTGCGCTCGGTATTTTTCCCTCTCAAGAACTAACAGTATATCCACAAATCGCACTTTAGATCTAGAGGTAGGGTGACAAGCTGAGAGGCAATTTCGGGCGTAGCCCAGCGAGTCCCCCCTAACCGCCCAAGTGTGACAGCAGCAGGGCTAAAGAAATCTTCGCTGCTTAATCCGCCGCTCGAGGGAGGACGACAGGGTTGGAGCGCTGTGAAGGGTGGTTTGTGTGGCGCCCTTTTAGGGGGCGCAGAGGAGAGGGCCGTCCGCGACAGCCGCTTAGCTTTCCCTGGAAAACCTCGGTGTGGGTGGGGCAGGCTCCCGGCCAGCGCGCCGCGGAGAGCCGCCCGGGGTCCGCGAGCCCCTTTCCCCGCCCACCCAGCGGTCCGGGCGGCGCATGCGCAGAGCCGGGCCGGAGAGTTGTCTGGGAAATGGCGGCCGCGGGCTTGGTAGCTGTGGCAGCGGCCGCGGAGTACCCCGGCCCAGTGGCGTCCGGAGCAAACCTCTCCGGTGCGAACTGTGGGCCGAGCCCCGGGGTGGGCCCCGGTCCTAGCCCGGGCTCGTGGAGCCGCTCGGTCGACCGAGCCCTGGAGGAGGCGGCGGTCACCGGGGCGCTGAGCCTGAGCGGCCGGAAACTGAGGGAGTTTCCCCGGGGAGCGGCCAACCACGACCTGACGGACACCACCCGGGCTGGTGAGCGGGCATCCCTGCCGCCCGGGACCTGACGGGTGGGGAGGGCCCGCCGGCGGGGGGTCGGCCCGGGGTAACGGGGACGGCTGCGGGACCGCGCAGCTCCCGGCCTGGCCGGACCCGGAGCCTGCGGCGCGGCGGCGTCTGCGAAGCCGGACGGAGGCGTCGACGGGTGATGCTCCTTGAGCGGCTCCTAGGAATCCCGCTGTCAGTGACCCCTGTGCGCTCCTGCCCGCCCCGCCGTCTGCAGGCCCCTTCGGGCTGGGGATGCCAGCTTGACTTCGCCAACAGCTGGGGAGGGTGGCAGGCACGTCCTTCCCTCGTAGTGCGGGTGACGCTGGGGGCTGCCCGGTCCAAGGACCCGTGTCCGCGCTGCCCTTTCCCCTAGTGTGGGCGAGCGCGCGCGTGTGTGTGTGTGTGTGTGTGTGTGTGTGATGTGGGCTCCAACGCTGTAACAGCCTCTTTCTCCGCCTCCGTTTGCCTGACCGAAAAGCACTTGTGAAAATAGCCCATCTTCAGGTGCTCATTACTTTCGTCTTCCGCTCTTAGTGTCCTCCGAGAAAACGTGAAAAGAAGAAAAACTTAATAGGATACTGTCCACCGCGACTGTATTTGTTTTTCCCTTTAAAAACATTGCTGCGCCTTATATTGTTTAAGACAGGAAAGAGAATGGGAATTAAGAATTATTTGGTTTCCTCAGCGGGAAACAATGTATGGTGACCGAGGTATTCAACATGCTATACTGTGTTCCTCCTGTGTTTAAAATATAATTTCCCCAGGGAGTAGATTGAGAACTGGGTCCTTTTATTTTACGTAAGTATGAGGGGAGTGGTCCCTTACGAAGTTGCTTAAATGTTTTGTGTGTACTTAGTGAATGTTCGGTATACATTGTGTCATCCTCATTCTGCCTAATTTTAAAAATCTTAAGAGTTCTTACTTTCTTAAGCTTGTGGAGTCATCAAAGACGGGTCATTGTCACATATAATTCACTCATGTTGGAAAAAAGAAATAGAACTGGCCTGGGAAGACGGCACTCTCTGGCAAGCCCGACAGACAACCCAAGTTTGATCCCCAGAACCTAGATAGTAGAAGGCGAGAACTTGCCTTACAAAAGACATACACACACACACACACACACAAACACATGACAGCTCTAAATATTTTTTTTTTAATTGAAAGCAAAGATGTTAAGTTACCCCCGGAAACTATTATTTCCAAAGAAACTTTTTCTCCGCTTCCTGAAGTTTATTTTGGGGAGGCAATTTTTGCATATAATCTATATTTCTTTACTTGATAGCACTGCAGTCAAAACTTGCGAATGTCAACATAAACATTATGTTTATGTCACTTGGATTTTGTATGTGTGTTGGTGGCCTCTTGTGAACTTGTCATTCATCCCCTTCCTGCTTTCTTGATTCTGCTCCAGAGAGGGCTGATTGGCAGGGTGATTTTCATATTGAGGTGAGTCATTTCAGTGTTGCTACACTAAGCCTGAAGGTAAAGAAAAGGCAATTACAGGAGTCTATCTAGCTTATTATCTTATCTGCTCTCAAGTAAATGTAGGAGCAGAATTTGAGCCATCAAGAAATAAAAGTTTTACTGACAAAACCAGACATTTATGAAGAATAATATTTACTCTTAAGGAAAGCTTTCCTTTTTGAGCTCTGATTTTTTTATGTATGTTATTACTCATACTTTAATGTCACTGTATTAAATCAAAGGTTTTGTTATTGCTGTCGACTGACATTTATTTTGGTCAAAAGTATAAAAAAAGAGATTAAAAGATCACAAGGTATTTTATAACCTGTTAAACCAGATTGATTTTTAACTCTGGCAGCCCTTAGTAATTAGGACAAAAATAGTTTTAAACAGGCAATCTAATGCCAGTGATGTAGTTATTGAGTGTTCATTATTTGTTATTCATCCTTAGATGTTTAGAACATATTGCCTTGATAAGTACACATAACATGGATTAAATATGATTACACTCATTTTCATAGGAAAAATAACTCAAAGACACTCCGACTACTGGTAGGCTTAGTTCACTCTCTTTTCTCCACTTTATCAAGCAGCTTCTCCATGTGCAGTGAGGCATCGTTTTTCTTCTTGTTGCGTATGGTGAAAGCAATGCTTATGTGTGTTTAATAATGTGCTCAAAACCTGTAGCTAAAGGACAAAGAAAGACGGTGTTCCTTAGGAACAGAACTCCAAACCCCATTCATCTTTTTTTGCAGTTACTTGATGAATCCAGACTTACTACTCTTTAAATGGTGTGTGTGTGTGTGTGTGTGTGTGTGTGTGTGTGTCTGTCTGTCTGTCTGTCTAGTGTGGGTATGTGCATATGAATGCAGGTGCTAAGGAGACTGGTCAGAAGAGGGCATCAGTTCCCCTGGAGCTGGAGCCACCTGTTGTAGGTGCTGGACATCAGTTCAGGTCCTCTGCAAGAGCACTATGCATGCTTAACAACTGAACCATCTCTGAAGCCTGAATTCAGACTTAGGAGAGTGAAAATATTTTGTCAAGGGTGGTACTATAGAAGATTTAAAACCTTGTAAAGTTGTATCCAAGTTGGCTCCTAGGTTATTCTTTCATTAAGTATGGAATATCCATGGTAGAAAGCAACAACTCTCCAGGAAACATCCTAAGAAACAGTACTTACTCCCCATACCATTTACAACTGCACATAATTAAGCTCTTCAGGAAATCTTCCTTGGGTGTTCCCCCAGTTTGTTTAAAAAGGTAGATACTGCTAGGCATAATAGCAGATGCCTTTAATCCTACACTGGGGAGGCAGAGGCAGGCAGAACTCTGAGAGGTAGAGACCAGCCTGGTCTGCGGAGTGAGACCCTGTTGAGTGTGGTGGTGGGGAGGTGTAGATTTTTTTTAGTTTTTATTTTGTGATAGTAGGGATTAAACCTAGAGAATTATGCAAACTGAGGAAGTGACAATGTTTTTTTTTTTTTTTTTTTAAGAAAAACAAATGCCTATTTTGGAGTAGATGACTTAATACAGTGGACTAGATTTTAAAAGACATTGCAGGAGAATTCTTGGAGCAGGAAAGTTACAACTTGGGTTTGGGTTGGCAAAAATGAGAAGAAAAGCCATTCTGGGCAGTGGTAGACAGTATACAAAAACTTTTAAGACTATGGGGGTTATCTTTTCAAGACCATTATCTAATCCCTTCTATTTCATAACAGCACTTCAGTTTTCCTAGTGAACCACCCTGAGAGGTTACCCAATCTGAATACAGTATACATGTGACTCAGGCCTGAAATGGTCAGTCATAGTACATTGCTCTGGCCACAGAGGTTGTTCCTAAGTAAGCACATTTGCCATCAGCACATACTAGTATTTTCTACATTATTCTGCTAGTATACTTTTACATTATTTTCTTGTTAACTATTGAGAAAGAGGCATGCTTCAGGCCCAAAGTTGCAGAGAAAATAAAATATGAGCCTGGAGCTTGTCAGTTAGCGGAAAGTAGAACCAAAAGATGGAAAGAGAGGTACAGAGTTTCATGGGCAGCATTTGAGCTGTAGGCTCAATAGCCACATCTGAAGTAAGTGCTGTGCCTGGACCTTCAAATTATGTGACTGTTTATTTACAGTTTCCCCTTTCTGCTTAATTTTAGTAGAATTTATTTACATAAAATCCTTATTAAGAGATTGAAACTGCTCTTATTGTGGTAGTGAGGACAATTTGGTAGAATGAATGATTGGCCAAGAGAATATAAGAACTACTATCCACTTATGTGGAGGAGAGACCAAACATAGAGTTAGAGAGAGGTCAACAATCGTACAGTATTTATTGGCTAAGGGACTTTAACATTTTAGATATACAAAGACGACCTGCCTGGAAAGAGCATGAGGGATCTCATGGGAAAACATGTGTTTGTAAAAATTATTTGAAGGGCCTAAGAGAAAGACTTATGTATTGGGCATTTGCAGGATGTTATAGGAGAGATAAAAATGAAGGGAACTTCATAAGTGTTTATGAATCTAGTAATGTGTCTTGGTGGCTATAGAAATAACAATCTATGCAAGCATGAAAAACATGATGGGAATGAAAAGTGTAAAAGTGCTAGTTGGATTTATTTAAAAGTAAAGATAGAGGCGCTGTTGATGCTGTAGGGCTGGAAAGGTAACACTATTGCTAGTAGCAAGGCTTGGCACTCACTCAGTCGGTCATTGCTGTCTGTGTTAGGGTGACAAAATACCAGTGGTTGTCAGCTTAGGAGGAAATGGAGCTGGTGCTTTGTCAAGGACTGTGCTTGCTTCCCAGCACTCACATCAGACAGTGCACAGCTGCCTGGAACTCCATCTCCGGCTCTGAAACCTCTGGCCTCCTAAGGTACGTGTACGTAAGTGCACATATACCCACCTCTCACATATACATAATTAAAAGCAATTTTATAAAAAATCATGTTTTTAGAGGAGGAGGAAAAGGCTGTTTGGCTCACGGCTTCGGAAGTTTTAGTCCCTGGTCGCTTTACCAAGTTACCAAAAGCAGAGAAGGTGTGCTAATTTTGTGATGGCCTGGAAAACAGAGAACCAGGAAGAAGCTGGGCTCCTGCATCCTCTTCAAGAACAAAACTCCAGTGACCTAACTTCCTAACAGTTCCACCATTTTCCAGTAACATTACAGGCTAGGGCCAAGCTTTCCACAGTTACACATTTTAAGTGCAGGCTGCAGCAAGCTTTTTTTTATAATTCAAGAATTATGCTAAAATACCTTGCAAAATACAACAATTATATGAATTGTAAGTACTAATTTATTTTTATCTCACTCCACACATCAGAAAATTGAGACTCAGGAGATGATAGATGATAGATAATGTAGTCAGGATTTCACAGCCAGAAAACAACAACACTCAGATTCAAATTTATATATAGCCAGGCATGTTGGTATATGCTTATAATCCTAGCTTTTAGGAAGCTGAGGCAAGAGGATCAAGGAGTTGAGGCAGCCTGAATTATTTAGGAAGTTCACGGCTAGATAGTAAG